CTTAGCGCAATCCCAACACCGCGAGCTTCGGATGCCGAATCGCCTGACACACGAAGGGTGAAGCGTGAGGTTAAGGTTGAATCAGTAGAATGAAGAGAGGTAATGGATGTGGGGTTTTGTATACATGTTTCGGAGACACAAAAGACATCTACATTGAACGTTTCGAGGGTTATAGCCAAGGCAGCTTGTTGGCCAATCTGATAGAGCGTGCGGACATTGAACGCGGCTGAGTAAAAAGAGGATTTTGGCTTCAAAAATCCTACAGCTTCTGAATCTCTGGTCTTGATGGTGAAACGCTGAGTGATATTCGATGGTTGATGTAAACAGGGGGCATCTGGGATTATTTGGGGTTGAGGAGAAGAACTAAACAAATGGGAAAGAAGGTTTTCCAAATGGGTACCCAAGACTTAAGGGCGCGACATACCTCGCGGCAGCCCACACCGACGAAGCGGCTTTTCTTTGGGAACCCTAACCTGAGCTTTCAAATTGAAAGTCTAACCCACAAGGCAGTGAAGCGTAAATCCAACGCGGGAGCGTGAACGAAGCACTCGTGTGGGAGCTTCTGAATACCTGTTACGCAAAGCCTTTGAGTTTCGGTTGAGTTTGTTGTTCGCTGGTGCGTTGATTATCGGTCCGCTGTTCGGGATCAGCCCTTAGCCTCATGCACCCAATGAGACAAGCGGACCGTGGACGGAACAGCACCTTATTGGCTAAGACTGCCCAGCATGGGCGGACGGTAGCTGTTCAATGAAATGTGAAGACTTCTCCCACCGTGGATAGGAAGCCCCAGGAACCCCGCTCTTACGTCCATCTAGCGGGGGATTTTCGACCGGTAAACTGCCCCTCACCGTGTTTATTTGCTCGAACGGCCTCTCCAGGGGCGGGTGTGGATAGAAGAAAGAAGCCAGGGGGTGCCCAGGCAGCTGGCTGCTGAGAGTGAGCTTCGTCTGGCATGATTGGATCTACGGCTGTGAAAAGCCATCCTGTGTAGCTCGCAGGGTGATGGAGGCACACAGGCCGTCACACCACGTCAAGGTGTAGTCTTATCGTGGTGGCTCAACCACGTTACCCATACACATAACTCCCGTTCGTTTGTGAGATCCCAGATGCATTTTTGTGATGCACCTGCACTAGACTTTCGTTACGCAGTTGTTTTTTTAATTTAATTTTCTTTTTCCTAAAAGGATCGACCGACTGACCAATGTTGGTTAGCCAAAAAGTTATAAACAGCCCTCAGTGATCGAGGCGTTTTTCTACCATTCTTGCGAGCATTGGCGAATGTTTTTCTTTATCCCCTTTCAGATCGTTTCCAACCGCGTGTCATTCTTCTTTTTCAACACATGACGGGTCTAACCACGTGCACCATCTCGGTGATCCACGTTAACCTATCGCGTGTGAAATGAACACTGTTCGATATCGTGTACCTGGACATCGCCTAACTCACGAGAAGCATGACCGATTCATAAAACTTACGTGGCCAGCTACTTTGTTGGCCACATGAGGAGTGAAGTTAATAGTATTTCCCCTCCCTCCAGGGGTACCTTTTCTAGGATAAATGAGATAAGCAGTATCGCATACAAAAACCGTTTGGCGTCTGTACAGTAATTAGTTGCATCCTCGTCATATCGAATTTGATCATTCTATATTGTTCGATCGCCTAGAATTTGAGGAGGACCGCGGTGCTCTTAACAGCATTTCGTGCACCACATTTTCAATCGTAAAAAGCTTACATACAAAATTG